TATATATATATATATATATGTATATATGTATATATATATAATTACAAATGAATTTATTATTGTTTATCTCATATCACTGTGAAAGAAGAAATAACAGATAAATAAGCAGTGACAACATATAGTTACATATTTATTTTTTTGTTTTTTTTTTTTTTTACATTATATATTTGCATTGTAAATTGCATATAGGCAAACGGCATTAAGATTGGACCACAACATTCGCCAACAAGTCCTGGAGGTTTAGCAGGAACTGGTGGACAAGGCAGTGCGCAGGGTGGTGGGTGTTGCTAGGGGCTGGGGCTTATCTGTCCACCGCTTCATCCTTCTCCGATCTGAATTGACCCTACTTCTGTTCTTCATTTTAATCCGAACATACTTTGTACAACTTAATTTTGCGCATGTCGCGTCATGAGGTAACAAGTGACAATTAATGTATTTATTAGTTAAAATAATCTTATACACATAATAAATAGGATTATTGTAAGACGAAAATGTTATACATCACGAAAATCATAAGGCATTAATAAAATCTTTGTTTACAAATTCTTCTAAAATATATAAATGAAGTTATATCATTTTTTTAAATGTATTTTTGATAGATTTAATTCAAAAATAACAGATATTTTCCAGTTTAATATATTATACATACACAATTATTATTTATATTTAATTATTATATATATAACTATTTTTGTTCTTGCACATCATGTAATAGTTTTACTTTCTATGTATAATGAGATATTATTTTAAATCGATACCTATGAGGTTTCATTAACTTTTATTGTAAAAATTTTTACATTTATTTAAGTATGCATATAGTCTAATTTAATTTTAATTATATCGTAAAATTTAGCTAAAAACTTGTCTCCCACTTTATGCAGCATGTGAAATAATTGTATTAAGTAATGTATTAATTTATTGATAAAGCGGGAGAGGACAAGTACTTTGATTTAACATTTTATATTTGTTTAATATGTATTATGTACTGTAATGTAATGTGCACTAACGATCAAAATTCCATTCTATTGATAGTGGCTCATGGACGCTGATGTATCAGTTAAACTGATTTGACGTTATTTACACCTAATTACCTAAAACAATTATATAAATATGTATGTATTGATGTATAAGATAATAATTATATAAAACATATATTAATCAATGCCATCAAAAGGCCTATATTTAACCAGATTTATATTCTATAATAATTACCAAAAGATCTCGTATTGCACATATTGGCTATTGATATCATTATTTATGGCTTTTTTGGAAGATGAAAACATTATTACTGCTATAAGCAAATTAAAAAAATACATTTTTACAATTTATATTGTAGCAAATCTATATTATATCGAAATCTACTTAGTATTTAACATGTAACACATTAAACATTTACATTGTTGATAAGGATATCAATACAAATATGTATGGCAGTAATAATTATCTGTACTTTCTCAAAATCTGAAAACAATTCCGTTTTAATGAATTCCTATCTTTATTTTTTTCATAAGATTAATTATGAATATTTCAAAATCTGAACAGAGACATGAGACACATAAGATATTTAAATACATGATGAATTAAGGATAAGTTTTAATAGTGCACGTTATTATATTTATTGAAAGATTTGTAAACTGACAAGAAAAACAAAATTATACATTAATATTTCTCGATGAAATTATAACGACATGCATTTATAATTATATTATACATCTAATTAGTACAAATTGGCTTCTCTGAGCATTATTATAATCAAATGTTATTTATATCTTAAATTATGAACTTATAGCTAATTGTTATGCCAAAGAATATGTCAGCATTATATCTCTTTTGCGCTTGTATACTGTAATGATGAAATAATTATATCAGCTTCGAGATTATATACATTCAGTATATTTAATTTATAATATAATCTAGCTATTATTCTACGCATTCAAAACTAATTTATAATGTATTTTGTATGTATGCATTGGGTATATCTTTTTAGTTGGAAAATATATATGTGCACATTACTTATTGTTTCTGCTCCTACGATACATCATGTAATTTGAGTTGCGTTTTTTTTTCAGAAATCTGTGAGATGATTGATAAAACTATCAGCATAATTACGCTATAAAAGATAAGATTAAAAGTTATAACTGAACTTAAAGTCAAATATAAATGATTTATTTTTAACCATACAATATTTAATTTAGTATTGTCCTGCTCGACAATTGTATTTATACAGACTAGCACTTTTTTAGCATGATCTTTTTACGTGACTATAAATTTGTCACTTGCAAGCAAATGTACTTATATTAAACATCTTAATTGTAGTAGAACTATATAAATTATTCACAGATTGTCTCATGTCCGGAATTTGAAAGTAATACACACATATTTAAAAAAATTTAATTAAATGATTAAAATGAAATTTTTGTAAAATAAATAGACTTTATAATGTAAATTATAAATTGGGATTCGATAATCTCATTCTGCCGCAACTCGCCGGCTCGCGAAAAGGAGTATGGCAGTGTCTCGCGCGAGTCATTTGACCACCGTCCTAATTGAACACGTTGTGATTGACCACGAGTTGCAAATAGTCACATTTTGATTGATCATGAGTTGCAAATGCCTACGTTGCAAATGACCACGTTGCAAATGGTCACGTTGCAATTGATCACGAGTTGCAAATAGCCACGTTTCGATTGACCACGTGATGCAAATGGATATATAACCTAATCCTAACCTAACTATGAAGTATATAATAACCTAACCCTCCTTTTTTTTGTTTGTGAGAAGAAAATTTTCACATAACTCGTCATCCGGGATGCTCTCAAAGGGAGAACTTAACCGGATGACGGCAGGACGCCCAGAAACCGGTCCCCTGTGTGTGCGAAATTCGATTGGTCTGCGTCCCCCTCCCTCCCCCATGGAGAAGGACAACGGACACCATCGTCTACCTCGCTAAAAATCTCTCCCTATATCAGCACCATCGCAAGACTAATTGAGAGCACTCCGGGATCGCCTACCAAGGTATCTTAACCTAAAAACTAGACATACCTAACTATGCACCCTATTCACATGTCTCCGCTGTTCAGCCATCGGAGCAAAGAGGCAAAGGTGAACATCACCCGCGTCCTCTCCCTCACGTTCCTTTTTCTTCTTCATCACGGTTTCGCAGAAATCCGCGAGGGCCATCCAGGACTGCGAAGAGTCCAGAGCAGCTCTAACAATACGCCATAGGTTCTATCAGACGCATCCAGCCCCAAAGGCATCGAACAGCACCACACGCTAGTCCTCTCAAGAAGGACAGAACAGTGTGGACCGTTTCCCCACCCCCCTCCCCTTCACCAATGGGCGCACATCTTCGAATCGGAAATCCTATTTCGTATAGGTAGACCTCAAAGCATCCATGATCCGTGATGACCTGAGTCATGCGATACGTGAGGCCTCCGTGTGCACGAGCCACCCAGTCGCCTATGCAGTCATTCAGGGCTTCCCTGGCCGCCGTACCAGGAGCCTCCGAAGAGAAGCTAACCAAATAATCTCTCCATCTTTCCATGGAGCGGCGGAACTCCACTCTCGAATAAGGTTCTGAACCCTCGGCATAATAAATCCATCTCTACAGATGATCTCTCTCCTACGCAAATACATGTTCCTCAGGCAATCCATCATGAACTTGAACGGCACCGATCTCGCCAAGATGGCCGCAGCCTCATGGGAGATGGTGCAGTAGGCTATCATCCTGAGCGACAACCGCTGGAGCTGCTCTACCAGACGATGCAGATGCCGGTCCCCAGCCACGATTTGAGCCCATATCGCTCTGTATAGGATCACCGACATGACCATCGAGGCGTACACATGATGCCTACCCTCTCCCGGTCCACCGATATTGGCAGTAATCCTGCCAATAGTGGTCGCCATCCTTCCCGCCTTGAGGAGGAGGAGGCGAAAGTGATCCTGAAAAGTCCATCTCGAATGGAGAAATAATCTCAGGTTTCAAGGTAGATCCATCGGGATCACCGCCTCCCCCCCCCCCCCCCCCCCCCAACGACACCCACACTTGGCCATAAAGACGATCACTTCCGTTTTGCCGACTGACATTTAGTTCCTCAATGGTCCGAACAACCACTCCCAGTTCCGCGCGAACTCGAGTTTCCTCAAACGAGGGGCCCATCATCACGATAAGAGTGTCATATGGTGGAGCAGTCCACCGGCAGTCCCAATCATAACACAGTCCGAATCGTATCCAATGTTCCACAAACCGAGTCATCGTGGTCGACAAAGCGACCTGTCGGACAGGTAATCCAGCATCCGCCTGAGATACCCTGGAATCTCCTTGGTCTCCAGGGCCGAACGGATCACAGGAGGGCCATGGGAGGGAGTTAAAGACATTGGCGACATCCAGAGACGAGTGAGGCTCGATTGCGCATATTATCGATCGGACACGGACCCGATTGGACAAGGACCCAATCGGACACTGACGCGATCGAACACAGACTCGATTGGACATGGACCCGATTGCACACAGACTCGATTGCGCACGGATCCAATTGCGCACGACTCGATTGCATACAGATTTAATTAGACGCAACAGCGATCGGAAAAACGGGAAAAATATTAGTAGATGATAAAAAAATATAAATAAGTGTTTATATTCACGCGAAGCGATTCTCACCTTCCCTCTCTCCCCCCTTGCAAAGGAATGCACAACTTCTATAATTATACTGTTGTTAAGATTAGAAAATCTATCATGTAGACTAATACTTATTGGTTCCGGATGGTTACAAAAAAATAACATATTCGACCCACTTGGAGTCTAACCCATAAAGACAGTGAGGTGTGAGAACAGTCTGTGTGCAATCGGGTCGTACGCAATCAGATCCGTACGCAATCGGATCGATGTGCAATCGGATTTGTGCGCAATCGGATCTGTGTAATCAAGTCCGAAATATGAAATCAAATCCATGTTCTAATGCAACGCTGTATGTCCGATCGAGTCTGTGTCCAATCGGGACCGTATCCAATCGAATCTGTGTCCGATCGGATTCGTGTCCAATCAGGTCTATATCCGTAAATATTGCAGTGTCTAATTGATAATGTGCATAATCGGGACATTCCCCCAAAGACACCGCCAATACCCTCCCTTCGTCACGCACGTTGTCATCCACCCACTCCCTCAAACGTCAAACTGTGTGAATCATCGAGTGACCCCTCCAAAAGCCAAACTGGTTGTCAGAAAAGCCGCCCTTGGAGTTCAAGTGGGTATGTATTGGGTTATCTAAAAAGTATCCGCGGTTTTTTGTCACTAGATGTGTGTTGATGGTCATATATCGAGTGACAAAGTACCGCGGATACTTTTTAGATGACCCAATATAATCGACGACACAGAACCATGAAAGGATTACATGGTATGTTCAGCATTTGCAAGCGTCTCTTTCTAATTCTCTGCCCCCTCGCTTACACAATAGGTTTGTTCGCGTCGCATACTCCAAATTCACCCAGAGAGCACTTGGATCACAAGTAAGGTGGCGGTTGGAGCAGTTGCATTCATATGTTCCAATGTTCAGTGAACGGATTTAGGACAAGTGAGCCTGTCATCTAATCTAATCCGTAAGACTACTTGAACGGATCGGACATGTGTCTTGTTTTGTTTCGGGTATTTTGTTACTTCAATTATTTGAAAAGTGTTTTTATACAAAATAAATGTATTTTTAATAAATATAAAAGTTATATTATATTTTTATATTATATTATATTTTATTATATTAATATTATTTTATTTAATTTTTTAAATTTTATTTATTTTATTTATTTATTCTTTTTATTTTATTAATTTTATTTATTCATTAATTTTATTTTTTATTTTATTTTATTATTTTAATTTATTAATATTAGGTGTAGTAAAAAAAAAAAAAAGAACTACATACGTAGTATATAAATTCACACAAGAATCATACAAGCATTTAAGATCCAGTTAAATCATTTAAGGCTTTGATTTTTATAGTTTGCGTTATTTTATTTTATTTTATTTTATTATTTTATTTTATTAATATTATATTATATTGTTATATTGTATTTTTATATTTATACCAAAAATTTATTAAATGCGTTTTTATACAAAATGAATCTGAAATACTTTTTTCGTTTACAACCGTTACGTTTACAACCATTACGCATGCGTACGTAACATGCCCCAATATCACCTTCTGAGGTGAGACAAATGGGGCGTGCTCTTAATTGATCCATGAAGTGCTCTAACGCGACGCGAACATCTAATCGCCATATTGGTTCCGGTGACGCGAATATATTGAAGCGTGTTGGGCATGTTGGAATGTGCGACGCAAACAAACCTAGTGATCTTTCGTGATCCAGTTTAGCCAACCTTAATTGTTATCTTCGTCGCACGCACATCATTTAGGTTAGGTCTCTTTTTATCATGTACTACTTAGTAATACCAACATTTGTTCGCGTCGCAAGCTCTTATCCTAGAGAGCCTCATAGATGATACATATTATTAATTTTGGAAATATATATCTTCCTCTATTGTGCATATATACATAATATAAAACTATGAATTTTTACATTTCAGATGTCAGGATCTATGCATATTACAAAATGCTTATCGGGTGCAGTGCTCCTAAATGCACAAATTCTAATAAAGATGGATATTGCTGCACAATATTTGCTCAAGATCCAAACTTGAGATAAAAATGGATTGATGCTGGAATTCCTGATTGGAAACCTTGAAAATCAGTTGTACTGTGTGAGGTTGGAAGCGTGCATACAAAATTTTATAAGATGTCTTATTCTAAGAGATAAAATTTTTAATTTACTTGTGATTATGATATGCTATTTATATAGAATTTATTGACGATTATAGTTGTTCAAGATTTCAAAAGTAAAAGTTTGAAATCTTAAGTATGCATATGTTTTTAATATTAAAGCGATTTGGTAATAAAAATAAAAATAATTGTGTTTGATTGTGGCAAAATAATCGTGTTTGATTTTTTAATCGTAAGAAACATAAAAGATTAATTACAAACGTTATATAAAAAATCTATATGTCATTAATCAAGAAAAATATAAAATATTTATTCAACATAAATTTTTAAGATATATAATATTATACAACATTTATTAAAAATTGTCACATCTATAACAAGAAAAAAAAATACTGATAATTCAATCACATAAAATTGACAGTTTTTTTACGCAACAACTATCATTATGTACTACATGGACTGAAAAGTCCCGGGATTTTTCAATAGGTGGCGCCACTAGAAAATGAACATGATTCATTTCGAGAGGTTCATCTGTCATTAGTTTATGTATGAAGTTTCATGACATTTCGTTCATTCGTTTACAAGCTACAATCGTTTAAGTGGCGTTACTTTCGCCTTCGTAAAAAAATGGAAAAACAGGAATATCGCATCTTGATCAAACATTGTTTTTTGATGGGAAAAACTTCTGAACAATCATTGAAATGGTTGCAGAAATGTTAACCCACATCTGCTCCTTCGAGAACAACAGTTTATCGGTGGTTTAGTGAATTTAAAATGGGTCGTACAAGCACCGAAGACGCACCTCGCTCTGGAAGGCCAAAAGAGGCTACGAAAATCGCAAAGCAAGTGCATCGAATCGTTTTGAGTGATCGTAAAGTGAAGTTGCGCGAGTTAACTGAGGCCGTGGGCATCTCAAAAGAACGGACGGGATACATTTTGCACGATGTTTTGGAGATGAAAAAGCTATCGGTACGATGGGTGCCGCGTTTGCTGACCATCGACCAAAAACAGCAGCGCGTTGATGATTCAACGGCCGGTTTGGCGTTGTTGCAGTGTAATCGAGCGGACTTTTTTCGACGTTTTGTGACGTGGGTCCATTACCATACGCCTGAGTCCAATAGGCAGTCTGCAGAG